GGCTCCGTCTCGTCGGACACCGAGGCCGTGGGCTCCACCTCGCCTGACCCTTGGGTTTGCGCTCTATTTCGCCCGGCCTCTAGGGGGGACTCCGTCTCACCTGACCCCAGGGCCATGGGATCCGTCTCACCCGACGGAGACCCATACCGCCGCCAACCACTCTAGGTCCAAGCGTATGGGGCTGGATCAAAACTCTGACGCCAAGGAAGAGACTGGCACGCCTTGATGTAACCCGCGGCCGCGACGGGCCATACCTGGGGATTCACATCAGGAACAGCGTTGGGCGTACCGGTGTTGTTCTGCCTAACCCCGGTACGAACACTGACAGACGCTTCAGTTCACCACGACGTCTACCGGGATGGAGTGGAGCGCCATGATCGGCAGACGACGCCTGCGGATGGCGCCAGTGACGGACAGGCCCACGACGTGAAGCTGTCCCTATTAACGTCTACAGGGTCGGCGGGACCCGCATGAAGGAGAAGAAGGACGCGGTTACCGTGAAGGACTTCTTCTCCCTCTCATTCTCCGCTGTAACACGTGCTTTCCCTTGGCCTATAAAAGAGAAAGCAGGGCGTCCCATGAAGGGGACTCGAATCCATCGGATCATGATCCCGATCGAATCACCCCGAACCGATCAGAACACAACATGAACACACAGGTGAGCAGCAACCGAGCTCTTGGCACCCGTTCACTCCTTCCACTAGATACTTGGGACATGTCTATCTCTCGCCCGTTTGTAACCCCTACTATAAACTTTCAGTGTTAGTAACACGAGCAGCAACGATAAACTGGATATAGAGACATTCTGTCCGAACTAGTATAAACCTCGTGTTCTCTAAGCACACCATCCGAGCCAGATGCGTAATATTAGAAATTTACTTGTTGGTTTTACTCGAAACACCGACAATTCCTAATCCCAAGAAAGAGACATGTAGAAGTTATAGATAGATCTCGTCTCCCACTCTCATCCTCAAGAACTACACATAAGAGCATTAGTACTTTCGCTGGTCCCTTTATATAGTTATCTTTAGGGCATATATGGTAGCCAACATAACATATATTGTACGAGCCTATCGATCCTTTGAGAAATTCTTAACAGCTTTGTTAATAACAACGTAACATCGTCCCTATTCCCTACTGGTATTATTTTCTACTACTCTGCTTCCGTAAGGTCTGGTCTTTCTTTTCCTTCGTCTATGCCTTTTTTCTTTCTTTCAGCTATTTAAAGCGTATTTCCTTTCGAGTCTCTAGCAAGTCTGTTCTTCTGTTTCCTCTGCGATCGTAAATTTTCAACCAGAAACAATATTTTTCTCTCACATCAAACCAGCTCAACTCGTAAATAATGTGATACGATACGGTTATGCATTCTTCTGTTTCCTCTACCTACCTTTTCTTTATTATAAAAAAAGAGCTCAACTCGTGTTGATGTGACATGTTATGCTCGAGTGCTTTACGTACAGTTTCATACTGTCTGTTTGGATGTCGAAATTTTTGGCAAAATAATACCGTAACATTTTCGTTGTTATTTGTCAATTAGTATCAAATCATAGTCTAATTAGGCTTAAAAGATTCGTCTCGTGGATTTCGTCTAAACTGTGTAATTAGTTTTATTTTTTATTTATATTTAATACTTTATGCATGCGTCCAAAGATTCGACGTGACTGAGAATCTTAAAAAATTTGGCATTTTAGGATGCAACTAAACATGGCCTAGTAGAAAATAAAAGCATAAAAGATCTAAACAACATAACACCCAGAGGTTTAATATATTTTGCTGAGGGGTGCAAACCCCTCCAGTCTCGTAAAAAAAACGTAACACCCAGAGAATTTAAAATTCAGCACGGTCACTTCTTGTCTGGCAGTTTCCCACTACCGCTCCTTCACCAACAACCGATGTTCAGGATTTACGGCTGCTCCGCAGCAGGTTACGCCATTGAGGACAAGTACCAAGTTGAAGGACGGTGTGTGCCGTTCCATTCCTCAAAAAACACAAATCGCAGTAGGAGGTAGTAGGTGAAACAAAGGGCCGCTGTTTGTTAGGTGTGTCTGAAAGCTGAACAAAACCGAAGACACCAAGTAGGAGTACGTGCGTGTTCTCCTTGCTGAGGAGAGATCGACCGATCAACTCTGACGTGATGCACTGATGCTGCCTGCCCGGCCCGCTCCGGTGTAAAAGCAGGAGGCGACGTGTTCGTGTCCCTCGGCTCGGCACTGTGCGAACGCGTGGATCGGAGGTCGGATCGGAGCACGGGTCTCCGCCGTTGAATGGATCCGCGACATGAGCCTGACGCTCGCGAGAAAGGCGCCGGTGTGCTTCTGTCATCCCCGATCTCGTAAATCCCTCGGTTCACTCTGTTGACAAGTTCTGGTAAATCTGGTGCACCTCTTTTTTTTCTACTATATTTGATTAATTGATTTGACTTGTAAACCTCGTGCAGGCGCCCTTTCCGTCATTTTGGAGTTCCTACTACCAGCAAGCGGCAGCCACCACGTAATAAGCCTAGCACAAACCTGTAGTATCTGACACTACCAAACATGTACAAACCCGGGACAGGGTCTGGTCTGCAGATGGATAGGGAAGAAAGAGTGCTAGAGTAAAGCTGCTGACCGGTCCAACGTCCAAGCGTACGTACGTGCGCACATCTGTAAAAAGCCACTTGCACGCAATAAGCTAAGGTGGTTCCAGAAACCACTTGTACGAGTCGTCTGACAAGTGGGTGTGATTAAATACTAATGGCAGTACTTTCTTTGCAAATTGCGAGTGGCGCTGCACCGGCAACGCGTTGACACTCTTCCGGTCGGTCTTCCCTCAGCTCGGAGCAACTTGGCGCTCTGGGCGGGCGGTCAACGGGTCAAGGGATGGGGGATGCTTGCGATGGATGAGCCGAGAATCACGGGCGTGGGGCGCGTTAATTAATCGAGCATGGCCGGATCGTGTTTTCCGATCGATCTTGCATATGCTGCGGCGTTCGGCTCGTTGTTGCAATCCTACAGACCCTAGGTCAGCTCCTGCTGTTACGCATGCTGCCCTGGTGCAAATTAACAGATAGTACCAGAGTATTGTGCCGTCACCAGGGAGATGGCTCTGATGTCTGATCCTCATTGGTTTTTCTTTGACGTTGTATTTATTATACATAATCATGTCGGCGTCCGGATAGTGGAAAGATTATAATCTACAGTATTTTTCACTCACAACAAAACAGTTTTAGCCAGTTTATGTATTAGCCGAACAGAATCCTTGATAGATCGCCTTTTTGTAACCAGTAACATCTGCACCTCGCGGCTGCGGAAGCTTCGGTTTGCGACGAATTCGCAGCCACCGGATGCGCGGTGGCTTCGGTTTGCCTCCGAAATGTGTCTGGACGCTGGGATGCTGTATCGTGTTATACTCTCCGGTTCCAAAAAAAAAGGACCATCGTTTTTGTTTGCCAAAAAATAATTAGTTTTAAATTTCATTAAAATTATAAAATATTATTTTCTCTGTTATAAATTATAAGACGTTTTGACTACTATGTGGTGTATATCTAAATGCATATTAAAAACTATAAATTTAGAAAAACCAAAACATCTTATAATTTAGAGCGGATAGAGTACATTTATAATACTGAACAAATCTAGTTATATTAATTATAAAATATATTTTTATAGTATACATATCTGAAGTTATAAATTCCTACTCCTATAGCTTAGTCAAAATTTAGAAAATCTAACTCAATTAAATCTAGAGTTGTATCTTTTTCTTTTGGAATGTAGCCGGGGACGGCGCTTGCCCGCCCACGTGCCGGAGCCGGGGGCGGTGCTCGCTCAGTCGCTCGGCCGCGCGTCGAAGCCGGAGCTCGCCCTCACGGACTCGGCCACGCCCGGATCTCGTCGGAGTTGACTCAGTCGTGCCCGGATCTCACCCGCACGCCGCGCGCCATGGCCGGAAGTGAAGCTCACCCGCCTGCGTTCGTCTTTCTCGTGGAGCTCGTCCCAACTCTGCCCGTCGAAAAAGAAGGACAGGAGTCATGGCATCTAGGCAGCATATTCGTAGGTGGGATGATCCCGTTTTCTTCTGGCCCCTCAACCAAACACCCGTGTGAGGTGGGATATCCCACTTGGGACGTCCGTGTCCCTTGAATCAAACACTACCTTACACAAATGGGTGGACCCTCACTCAAGCTTTGCAGGCAAGAACACGGGGTGATACGATGCTGAAACAAGTTGAAATGCCAGATTATCAAGCGTGCCAAGGCCCAAGAGTCTGGCAAAAGAAACCCTTACTGCGTGCACTCCTCCACATTTGAAGTATTCATTCATCAAACACTGGCAAAACTTAAACATTCTTGCCTACAATTGGATGACGTTGAGATTTGTAATCCATAGTTAGTGGCCAGTGGCTAGATTAGAGCATGAGGTTCTCCACGTTACTGACTCCAGCCCAGAAAACTTTACGTCGCTGTATATCCTAATTAAAACGTCATATATTTACAAGATTGGAACAGAACTTGCTAATTACTCCGTAAGTAGAGATAAGCAATTAGATTAGAGATGCGACAACACACAGAAAAAACGAAACTGCAGATCGCAAACAAGGAAACCTGAATTCCTCGCAAACAAACCCACCTACTTCTAACTATGTACAAAGCTACATACTGTATATACAAACAACCACATGTAAACTTCTTGTCCGTATATGTGTACCCGCCTATACGACCTTCACAAATCGCAGGGCAGGTGGTTAGCCACCGACTCGAGACCACGATTCGGAGCCGAATCCTGAAAGACTAATTGCCCCTGCTTTCTCTGACTTCCTTTTTGACTTGCGTAATTGCTGTAATCCCACACGTATGCTAAACTGCTAATACTGGATTTCTAGTAGTACTAATCTTCACAAAGCAGGTTTGCAGGGGATCTCCAAGTCAAAGTGTCTGAAATTTCAAATCACGATTTCAAACTTGAAGTCGCACTGTTTGGAACGGGTCCTCCATGGCGCGTCGTTGCTCTTGCTCACCACCGGCTTCAGAACGGGTGGTGGCTCCGGCTGAGCCCGCGCACGTTGGCGAACAGCCCCACGAGGTCCTGCCGGTACGGCAGGAACGTGCGCCGGCCGCCGCCGGTGGAGGCCTTGGCGCCGCCGTAGGACACCCGGCGCCCCGCGGCGACCGTGTCGAGCTCCGTGGCGGCGGCCGCGGCGGCTTTACTTCCTTTCGGCGGCTGCTTCGCCTTCGCCTTGGAAGCGGGGGAGGAGTGCTCCCTGTCCCTGGCCGGGGACGGCGGCGCGGAGAGGAAGAGGAACTTCTCCCTGCCGTCGCTGTGGCTGCGGCCGACGACGAGCTCGCTGATGCGGCGCCACCGCGCGATGGAGCCCGTGGACCCGCTCTTCCGCGGCGGCCGCGAGGGCGATGACGCCGCTGACGACGAGGACCCGGGCGTCCAGAGGCAGTAGTTGTCCGGGGACGCGCCGTCGAGGCCCGCGCCCGCCGTCGAGGACGACGCCGAGGAGGAGGAGGAGGACGTGGACGCGACGGACGAGGTCCGCGCCTGCTCCAGCTGGAACAGCCGCCCTAGCGGCGCCCTCGGCGCTGGGACCGGGGCCTCGTCCAGGACTCGGCCGAACACCGGGTAGAACGCCCGGATGCGGCCGCCCGCGAAGAGCTCGTCGGCCGCCGCCGACTCGCGGCTCACGAAGGGAAACTCGAACTCGCCGTCAGAGTCCTCGTCGCCGGAAGCCACGTCGTCGTCCTCCGTCCTGACGACGGCCGTGGGTTCCTGGCGGCGGCGGGCAACCGGTCTGTCGTCCTCCATGTCTCGCATGTTTCTGCTGCTCGGTTTGTTTGCGATCGGGTGTGTTCGGCGTGGGGAGGGAAGGAAAGGGAAGCAACTTCTAGTCGGTTAGCGAGATGGCAGCGGCGTTTATATAGGGGAAACCGGGTAGCGGGAGGCGACCTTCTGGAAGGAGAAAATGGGCCCGTCTGCTCTGTTTTTTTGCTTGGGCTGGGAGCTTGGAGGATTGGGAGTTGGGAGGCGCCCACGTCAGTCGTGATGGACGCGGGGTTCGTTTCTTGCCTCTTGCTTGGGGTGGGGGTTCCGTGTGCGTGTGCCGAGAGTTCTTTACTACTTTTTCCTGGGTTTATTTACACATGATTTTTGGGAAATTTCTCGAAGCGGCCTGGGTCCGTCGGATTTGCCGAGATCGCGCTTGCTTGAGAGACAAGCAGCTGTTATTGTTAATCCGGTCGGCTGTAGATTGGCCTCCAATAAAGTTTTGTGTAAACGTGGCGTCATTCCTTTTTTTTTTTGTAAGCTGGTGAAGGGGAACTGGGCAAGGTTGTGATCTGATACCGGACAGTGTGAACAGAAAAGTAGTACTAAATCCGTTCTAAATTACAGTTCATTTATTTTTTTAACCTCAAGTTTAACCACTCGTCTTATTTAAAAATTTATGATAAATATCATAAGTTCTTCAAGATTGACTTAAATTTAATTATGTTTGCATAAATTTTTTGAATAAAACGAGTGACCAAATTTAAAGTTAAAAAAGTCAGACGAATTATAATTTAGAACAGAAGAAGCACGTAACTATAACTATGGGAAACTTCATTCCTTGCCCTGCATGGTACTACTACTGTGCTACACTTTTTTTCCTATGATGATGGCTGCCTGCACAGTACAGTCATTAACCCGCCATTTCGCATTACTAACGCATGGCAGCACGCGCAGTCCCTTCTATAATCACGAGCCACCGTAGCGAACACAAGAGAGCTATCCACATGGAAATTGCGCCATTATTGGTGTATATCCTATCTGTCGACCCATGGAGAGGTGCGTCCGTGCGTGCCATGCACTTAAACTTTGCAATGCAACGATCGGTAGACAATGATTTTTTTTTTGATTTAGACAATGATTTTGAGTTTGCGCATGTGCCACCAAAGCAATAGACAGCACCCAGCCCGGGAGAAAAGTGCCAACGCTCGGGCGCAACGGCGACTGCTAAGGCCCCGTTCGTTTAGTTCCCAAAAACCAAAAAATTTTGTGCAGGAAGTGTCACATCGAATCTTGCGGCACATGCATAGAGTATTAAATGTAGCGGAAAAAAAACTAATTACACAGTTGGATGAGAAATCGCGAGATAAAACTTTCAAATATAATTAATCCATAATTAGACACTAATTACCAAATACAAACGAAAATACTACGTAGCCCCACGAGGCCACGCGACGCCGCGCCAGTAGTTTATCCATGCGTGTATGTGTAGCTACGCGGCTCCACACTTTTAAAGGTTCCAAGCAATACTATTAAGCTTCTGGCAATTTGATGCCACGATCATCTTATGGGTCTCACTTATTAGTTTAGTTTTAGAGATAATGCACCTTAGGTCCATCAATTTGTGGTGGTGTGTCGTATAGGTTCATTAACTCTTAAATTATATTTTCAAGCCATTTAAACTTTTTAAAGTGGTTCACTAGAGGTTCATAGCCATTTAGAAAAATAGATCTGATGTGACACGTACAGTCAACAATCAATGTCTGACGTGGCGTAGGCACCCAGGGTGGATTTATATACACTGTAGAGTAATCATGATCAAATTTTCACTATATACGCACCTATACGCTAAAAATTTATACACCTACAATACAATACAAGCGCACCCTCTCCGCGTTAAAAGTAATCTCATGAGGGGGTTTCATTTTCCTATTATTGTCAAGCATATAAATGCATAGAAGTTCCATCTCCGCGTTAGGATGAGCTTTCGTGCCGCGCGTGCTTGGTCTTTCATCATTATGAGCAGCAACTCGGTTTATGCTCTTTTGCATGGCTTTCATTTCTTCGGAAGTCTATTAAACGAGCAAGTCATGTTCAATCGATCTCTTGAAAACTCAGTTAATTAAGCTTCTGAATGAAGGGACCCCGTCCCGCGCGCACGTACATTTAGTCTTTCCCCTCCTCCCAACAAAACGTTATTGTGCCTGTGCGATGGCATTGATTTAGGGTTTTTTAAGAATATAAAAGTTTCCTCAAATAAGTTAACAACATAACTTATATGTGCAAGTTATTATCTATAAAATTCCCATAATATACGTTTCTTTATACAAGTCTAGAGACAATGTTCGCTTGAATATTATGCTGAGAGCTTTGATTGGAAGAAAAATACACGCTTAATAAAGTTCTTTAAACAAGTCTAGAGACAATGTAGTACGTATACTTTTACAATTTTTAATCGGAAATAGAAAGTTTTGGAAATGAAAATTTATAAAAATAGAAAGTTTCGAGGGTAGCCAGGCTGGCCAAGCTGTGCCCCTGTTTGGCTGTTTCTTACGCCATGTAAGTGTGCAAATCTTATCATCTCGGATAGTCGGATTAGCATCTCTAGCTACTCCGTACTCCGTACTGGCTGCTTGTGTATGTATACAACCCCTTACCCTTCATCAAGCTAATTTTTCTATGAGCACTGAGTCTTTCTTCCCTCTTTTGTTTGAGATGATAATCAAGGACCATACCACTTTTTTGTGAATTTGGTTTGTGTAAGCATATAACAATTCAAATGACAGGCTTCATTTTCCTATAATAACTTTAAGCATAAATGCACAACAAGGACATGTTTAATTATTCTATAGTGCTAGTAGTTCTATTTTTGTCCTAAAATATAAAGTATTGAAACATTCAAATTTTATTCTAAATTATAAAATAATCTAGGTGAATTAACTCCTCCTAATACACCAATCACATGCTGACTTGCCATTACTGTCTACCACCAAGATCAAAATATGGTAAACACAAGATTATTTTATAGTTAAAGGAGGGTTATAGGTGTCATTTGTTTTTATCCCATAATCTGTTCTAAAATTCCTAGGATACCTTGTATTTTAGGAGTGACGGAGTAACAACTCAAAAAAAATTAGCGGGTGAAATCCAAACATGCTTCCTATATAATACATGGTGGAGCTCCTAATAATTACTAGTTCATCTCCAATAGTTCCCCCAAATAATAATTGGTAAATCAATGAGTTTTCCAAGTGGCTAAAAAATGTTGGGAGCATATTTGTTAGATTCTTCCAACAGTTTTCAAAATCTTGTATGCTCCTGATAAAACATAGAAGGCAATTTTTTATCAGGAATCCCATACTATTTATAAATTACCCCAACCACTTTTATATTTTCTTTCTCAGTTATACATTTGCATCGGAAACCTGTCCTACTTCTTATTCTTCCCATGTCCTTCCACCTTCAGATTGGTAGATCAATACGCGCGCGGATATTTTCGCGCGACTCGATCATTTTTCCTAAGTGCTAAAAGATTAGGGGTTGAGATAGGGAGTTGTTGGAGAGGGTTTTTTTATCTTACCAAAATCTAGATCGGGAGTGGGTTTTGAAAACTCTTAGAGATGTTCTTAATTGGTAAAGCCTTGGAGGGGGTGCTAATACTCCTTCCATCATAAAGTACAAGGTATCCTAGGATTTTATGACATATTATAAGGTATAAATCACATAACACGTGTAATCCTTCTTTAATCACAGGAGAGAGATATTTTGATTACCATATTTGGATTGGTGAATGGTGATAGACACTATTAGTAGATATACGTGTAAATGCTACTATTTTTAAACTGAGCTGAGGCCATTTCACCTAAAATGTCTTATAAATTGGATAAACTTTGAATCATTATATATACCTTATATTTTAATATGGAGGGAGTAGTTCATATACATCTGTAATTAATTAACTAACTATCTAGCAGTGGATCCAGATAACCTACACTTATAATGTTACCTAACAGCGAGCAACTGCTACGTATTACCTATAAACTAGAAGTAGTTAATAATAATGTCGGTGTTTCGAGTTACCAACTAGTAAATTTCTAGTATTGCGCGTCTGGCTCGGACGATGTGCTTTGAGGACACGAGGTTTATACTGGTTCGGGCAGAAAGTCCCTACGTCCAGTTCATCGCTGCTGCTCGTGTTACTAGTCTGAAAGTTTATAGTAGGGGTTACAAACGAGCGAGAGAGAAATAAGTCCCAAGTCTCTGATGTGCGTATGCTCCTAAGGCATGTTAGGGCATATGTTTTGATGTCTACAGTCGTGTAGAGTGGTGAACCGCCGTCCCCCCTCCTGGGGCATCCTGGTTCCCCTTTTATAGACGAAGGAGAAGAGCTGGTTACACAGAGAGAAAGAGGGAGAAGATCCAAGGAGAGGAAGACTTCTAGGACCATCGGACCTTTCTTCTTCTTTATGCGGGTCCCGCCAACATTGTAGATGGTGACAGGGACGGCTCCACGCCGGGCGCCTGTTCGCTGCTGATGCCACGCCCCGGCGTTGTCAGCGGGTCGTGACGTCCCATTTCATCCCGGCGGGCGACGCGACGAACCAGCGTGCTGGTCAGCGGCCGTACAGGGAGTAGGCAACATAGTGACCACGCGTCCATCACTGTTGGTGATGTGAGTTCCCTAGAGTGACATGTCGTGGGCACGGGTCATATTGAGATGTGCCGCTTCCTGCACGATGCCAGAAGTTTGACATTGGGTTGTACTTTCTGGCCCATAGTGGTTGGCGATGGTACGGGCGTCCGTCAGAGCCTGCGCCTAAGGGGTCGGACGAGACGGAGCCCCCGACCCTAAGGCCGGGCGAGGCGGAGCCCGCCCCAGAGGTCGGGGGAGGTGGAGTCCGCGCACCTAGGGTCGTTTGGAGCTGTAGTCGTGCTCTTAACTGCTCGGATGAATCAATATTGATGACCATTAGCTCCTCCTCTTCGAGTACCCTAATATTGGCCCCCGACAAATAAATCGATCTAAACAAATGCCTTGAGTTTCACGTCCA